AAAAAAAAAAATCTTTAAAAAAATATTGCATATATAATTGTTGTACAAGCCATTTTGTAAATGTAATGTTATTACATTACCTTTCCATTTAAAACTGTAGCTGTTGTAATGTTGTAAATCTGTCAAACAATTCAATACAAAAGATACACGGCACCTTTTCCTATTACAACACAGGAAGCCCACCAGATGCATATAATGAACCCATACATTGCCATTCAGGGATCAGTTTGAAAAGGACATGCTGAAACAGCTTTTTCTTTACAAGAGAAACAGGTAAGAAACAGCAAAGTTTGTTAAAATCCTTGCAATGTACAAAGATCACCCAAAGGATTGTTTTTTTAACCACTTGAAGTCCGCGGTGTAAACCCCCCTTCCTGTCCAGGCCATTTTTCAGTATTCAGCGCTGCGGTACTTTGACATTTATTCTGTCATGCAACGCTGTACTGAAATGAATTTTATACCATTTTTTGGAGACATATAGAGCTTTCTTTTGGTGGTATTTAATCACCGAGGGTTTTATTTTTTAATATATTAAGGAAAAATTACAGAAAAAACTGTTTCCCATAAATTAAATATTACCCAATTTTTTGCTAAAATATAAGATGGGGTCACATCGGGTAAATAAGACACCAAACATGTCAAGCCTTAAAATTGCGCACGTGCGAAACCTCAAAAAACTACAATACCCAAAATAGGCCATAGGTGACGCTTTAAAAGTTTTTACCGCTCATCAGTTTAGTGTTATCAGTGATTGATGGCCCTAAAATGATTGCTCTAACTCCGAAGTTCACAGCGATATCCAACATGTGTAGTGCAATTGTCATTTTCGCACGATTGCGCATCGAACGCGTATTTACGTTTAGCCATCACATTGGGGGAAAACAATCTGGTGCACACTGACCGGTCCTCTTTATGGAGACATTAGGTGTCTCTAAGACCCGTCACCTTGGGACCCCAAAAGAAGCTGATGAAGCACAAGGAAAACAATCTGGTGCACACTGACCGGTCCTCTTTATGGAGACATTAGGTGTCTCTAAGACCCGTCACCTTGGGACCCCAAAAGAAGCTGATGAAGCACAAATCTGCTTCATCAGCTTCTCTCTGGCTATAGCAGCCAGATGACTGACAGGTAAATGCGGAAGTGATGCATTACACATTACTTCTGCGTTCGAGGAAGATGCTCATCTCCCCGCCCCCCCATCTTACCTCCTGACGCCCTCCCGAGCTGCAGATCCCGGGATTGAAGGTGAGGGGTCAGGAGGGGGCGGCACTTGAGGGGGGGCGCGCAGCCACTCAGCACATGCATACCATCAGTAGGCTATAGAGCCGCCGATCGTATGTATGCATGTCAAATAGCCGGTAACGGCTGTAAAGATCGGGCAGGTTTTTTCCTGCCCGTGCGCGCAGAAAAAAAGCCGTCTAATGACGGCAACAGGCAAATGTGAGTCCGCCGTCCGTCTGTTTTTTCACGGCAAGAGGTTAACAAAAGTGGAGTTACTCTTTAAATTGCCATGTTTGTGCAGAAGAGGGAATAGCTCTGTTGTAGCAGTGAGACTTCAAGACAGATGGGGAGAGGACAAGGATTTATAACTGGGAGACCACACTGCTCATCTCCACATACAACTGAAACTATATGCAGTAGACTTTCCCTTTAAAAGGTGGTTTCTAATTTTAAAGTGGGAAAAATGTTATATAAACTTGTTAACCATTTGCAAAAATGCAAGCGGTTTGGAAACCAAAAGAATTCCAGTAAGTGAAAAGTTGATCAAAACATTGCCTAAACGTAATACTCTACATATTTAAAATACATTGAGTCCAAGAGAAGATGAAAGGGTTACTGTCATGTGCTACAAGCGAGCAGAGGGGGTTTCCCAACCTGTCTTCTGGGTTAGGGGGTATTCCCAGGTCTCCAGTGCGAAGCTTGCGAGTGAGATCCTCAATTTGCAGTTGAACTGGAAGAAAGCAGGTTAGAAAACAAAAAAGGAATGGGAGAAAATTGTTAAACCCAAAAAGAGGAGAAAATTAACCCACAACATTGTTCAAACAATTATAACCAGGGCAGAACATGTTAAAGGCAGTGAAAATGCAAACAATTTTTCCAACCTGTTTGATGCTTTACTGGGCCATGCTAACCAACAGTTTAAAGCCTAGAAATGGTTATCTGTGGTGAGAGGAGGACAAACCAAATGCTTTCTGGCAGAACTAAAAACCAGTTTAAGAGGGAAAAACACCCACACATTTACAGACATAGTAGCAATATCAATTTAAAAATAAATAAAATCAGACACTGTAAATTCAGGAATTAGGAGGATGGAAGATGAACACTTTCACCATTCCAGACAGACTTCAAAGTAAAAACCAAGTTTAGTTTACTCTGATGCAAGTTTAAAATGTTAACTACTCTTTACCACTTTCAACCCATTTCCCTAACTTTGTTTCTATTCCAGGGCTTGTAAAAAATGCATTTATATGAAAACAAAATTCTCCATTCTATTGGATACAAAATTTGCTTGTTGTGGAATACAGAAAACTAAAGTTAGCTGATGTGCAGTCTTAGGCAACATTAAAAAAAGGTTCTACTTTTATAAAAAGGATCTCTAATGGACACATGGACAAATACAAATAGTGGGCATGTTGCTTGTGCCACACATTTCAAATTTATTTTGGGTACAAAACATTTTAATAAGCTACCATGCATATACTGGTGCATTGCTGTACAGGGCTATTGGCATCTACTCGCATCCCAAATTATTGTCACGGCAATGAATCGCACAAAGTGTTATAGCAACACATGGTAAAATTCACATTTTACAGCAATGCATAGTGCAGAATGGGGGCCCTCTTACTCTTGCATTCTAAACTCATTTAATGTATCCATTAGCCTAAACAGTCCAAAAAAAGCCACTAGACTGAACAAACTAAAATAAATAATTGCATTTAATAAATGTAAAAAAGAATTTAAAGGCAAAGCACAGTACCAAAGGTTAAACATTTGACCTATCAGCATATCTTTAATATGCTTTGAAACATTTTGTATTTGCACATGGAAAACTCAATTTATGGGTACCAGCAGAAGAATCTTAATTCTAAATAGCTTGATCAACCCAAAGGGAAAACCCAATATGAGATACAACCAGAAACAAAACTGCCAACTTCTACCTTCTAAAGTGCAGCTCTGCACCTTTTAATGGAAAAGTCTACAGATGTGTACATTAGTAAATGTATGGATCCATAGGCTTGTGAATTTTGAATGTGCAGCCTCCGCTTCTAAGGCTATGTTAGGGACAGGCCAAATCAGAGAGACTGTCAAATTGTGGTCTGAGACCTGCTTTAGGTGCATGTAAGGGAAAGCAAAGGGTGGTGGGGTCTTGGTGAGAATCATGCTTATAATCTGGAATTCAGATATGTTTGGCTCATTTACAAGAAGCTTTTCTTTTGGAGGTCCGGTCAATTTAAAACAAGATGTAAAACTTTGCATTAATATGCTAAGTAATCTAAACCTTAAACTGCATGGAAAATGTATGACCACCTTGTTTTAAACTGTTTTATTTCATATATTTCAAAAGCCCTGAGCAGTGTTATTGCACACAGAATACTCCATTCAAAATAATAGAGATGCACCGATCCTAGCATAGGTATCTGTGCTGAGTACTTGGTCAAGTACGAGTCCTCGCCCAAATGCTCCAGATGCCTAGCCCGATACTCTGACTTTGGTATCAGGAAGCCGGGCAGCAAGTCATTACACGCTGCCAGGCTTCCTGATTGGCTGGGAAGCCGGCCCCAAGCTCCAGAGTCATTTGCCAACGATGACTCGCCGGCCGGCTTCCTGACTGGTCAGGAAACTGGCCAACCAGGAAGCAAGGTGGCAAGTCATTACCTTCCCCTTGGCTTCCTGATTAGCCAGAAAGCCGGCTTTATGATCTCTCGTCACCTAGTGACAAGGGAGCATGAAACCAGGATTTTCTGGCCAATCAGGAAGCCGGGCAGCGAGTCATTACCCACCCCCCAGCTCCCTGATTGACCAGAAATCCGGCTCCATGCTCCCTCGTCACCTGGTGACGAGGGAGCATGGAGACGGCTTCCCTGCTAATCGGAAAGCCAGGTGGTAAGTCATCACAATGAGACTTCTGATATCGGTAGAGGTGCACCGAAATACATTTTCAAAACCGAAACAAATTTTTTAAAATGTCAGGCCGAACACGGAAATTTTTTGTTTCTAACCTTTCCCAAAATAAAAAAATGTTTTATAAACTTTCAATTTTTCATATTGTATTATATTAAATATTTTTATACTATACTGTCTGGGGAGCACAAGGGAAATATTGGGGGTGTGAACAAACCCCCCTGATATTTCCCTTTTAAAATAGAAAGATTGAGGACAGAGTCCTCAAGCTCTTTCTGCATCTGTTATAAATGAAGAGGAAGCCTCTGTACTGAGTGTTCTGTTCATTCGTAACTTGTGGACATAGTATGTTTACCATGACCACAATCTTGAATGACCAGGAAGTGATGTAGATCACTTCCCATTCATTCATAATTGGGTACACAGTAAACATACAATGTCCTCAAATATTTACAAACACTCATCGATCACTGATCGCTTATACCCGCTCTCCATCCTGGGTCGGCTGTCACAGGAGCCTGAGCGAGCAGTGCGGACAGCTGGCCTCCTGTGACAGCTGTCTCTGCCCCCCACTGCCTCTCTCCTAATCTGTCACAGGAGGCTGAGCGGGGTGGGTGCGGGAGGAGAGACGCCGGCGGCTCAAAGCGCTCTCCTCCCCCTGCACCGCTCAGCCTCTTGACAGTTCATCTCCTCCCAGCTGGACGCTACCACTGTGTCAGAGGGGACACGAGCAGCGCCCGGCAGGGAGAAGAGAAAGCGGGGATGCACAGCACTTTGCGAAAAGTGCAATTTTGGTCCGATCTGTTTTGTCGTACGAAATTCTGGTGGGTGGCTACTCGTTCCCCACAGTTCATGGGTGCGTTAAGTAGCCACCGCTCCAAGCTCACTCCCATGATGAACTTCAATCTTAGGTTTAGTTTACTAATTTGTATTGAGATTGTAGTCCATAACAGGAGTGAGCTTGGAGCGGTGGCTACTTTACAACACACCCAGGAACCATGGGGAACAAAAGTAGCCACCCTCCATAAGGAAGGACAGTGTCAGCATGAATTCAGAGATGATTTGAGCACCTACAGCCGAGTGATGCACAAATAAGGTCCAGTATTAGTAGTTAAAGTGACATTAAAGTCAAAAACATTTTTCCCTCCCACCAATGTTAAGTAAAACACTTACCTTAAATTATGTCTCTTAACCTCTTGCCGTCCGCCCGTTAAGAAAAAACGGACGGCAGACTCGCATCCGCGGGTTGCCGTCGCCAGATGGCATTTTTTTCCTGCTCACGCGCCCCCTAGCAGGAAAGACCCGCTCGTTACACATACAACCGATCAGCGGCTCTATAGCCACCGATCGGTTGTATGGCATGAATTTCGGAGCGCCCCCCCAATCTCGAGTGCCGCCATCTCCCCCTCCTGACCCCTCACCTTTAATCCCGGGATCCGCTAGCCCATCTGCGGTTCGGGACCGGCTCGGGAGGGCGTCAGTCGGCTCCTTGCTGATCTTTGTCTGTAGTGTGTGAATGCAGAAGTGATGTGTATTACATCACTTTCGCATTCACCTGTCAGTCATCTGGCTCCTACTGCCAGAGAGAAGCCGATGAAGCAAATCTGCACTTCAGCTTCTTTTAGGTTGTATGGCATGAATTTCGGAGCGCCCCCCCAATCTCGAGTGCCGCCATCTCCCCCTCCTGACCCCTCACCTTTAATCCCGGGATCCGCTAGCCCATCTGCGGTTCGGGACCGGCTCGGGAGGGCGTCAGTCGGCTCCTTGCTGATCTTTGTCTGTAGTGTGTGAATGCAGAAGTGATGTGTATTACATCACTTTCGCATTCACCTGTCAGTCATCTGGCTCCTACTGCCAGAGAGAAGCCGATGAAGCAAATCTGCACTTCAGCTTCTTTTGGGGTCTCCAGGTGACATTAGGGGTCTAGAGACCCCTAATGTCTCCATAAAGAGGACCTGTCAGTGTACCTGTGCTATTATATAGGGGGGATGGTATGCCCCTATGTAATAACAATAAGTGTTAAAAAAAATATATAAATAAAAAAAGTTTAAAAAAATAAGTCACAAATAAAAAAAGTAAATTTCAGTACAGCGCTGCATGACGGAATAAATGTCAGTCTAAGTACCGCAGCGCTGAATACTGAAAAATGGCCTGGATGGGAAGGGGGTTTAACACCCCGGATGTCAACTGGTTAATCCGATCTTCCTCTTCTTTCCTGTCCTTTTCAGCCTTCTCTCCAGTGCTGCTGCCCGATCGAGCGCTGACTCCTCTGTCCTTGCTGGCACTTCCTGTACCGCGGTGTCTGCATGCGGGTGAACGCGTCCATAGACTTAACCTGAGTCTCTCCTCGTCTCCCGGCCGAAAATCCGAATTGCGCCCACCCTAGCAGTTTCAAATGGGAGCTTACGGCGAAGACAGAGGTAAGTTTAAACCGCCTTTAAAGCGTCTGTTTTTTGCATATATCTACTGCTCGCTAGCAGTAGATATATGCAAAAAAATGGAGGGTTTAGAAACCCTTTAAGGTACTTGAATGTATTTTTGTGATTCCATTCCCAAGTTTAGTGTCACTTACTCTGCATTTCTGGCTAGAAAATTAACTTGGAACCCAAATAAATTCTTTCCTGAATGCAGAGGCCATGTAAAATAAAAAAGTGTAGTTGTAATTTTTTATGTTTCAAGTTATTTGCACAACTGATTATACATCAAATCTAGGTTTTCAGTAAAAATGCACTAAAATGAATTTTAGTGCACACAAATAAAGCTTCCAATTTTTTTTGTACAAAATATGAGATGAGGTTTTGTCACGTAAAAAACTAACAGTCTCAAAACAGTGGGTGCCCAAAAAAGGTTTTCTATGACGGTACCCAAATAACTGGGCGATACTAACTAAACAGATGAGCTATAAAAGCATTTAATCATAAATGAGACCTAGAATGATTTCTCCCACTCCAGCATGCACATCGATACTTAACACTTGCTGTGCAATCGTTTGCATATATATCTGCTCCCTACATGTGTATAGAGCATGCAGACTGCTTCATCTGCTGTTCAACCAGCTTTTCATAGCTCTCAACACACAAATGATCAGTGCTTCCAAGGTCACATGAACACCCTCCTGCTCGCTATACCTAGTTTATATAGTGGTCCTGGGCTGTCAGGTGGAGTAGGAGAGCCAAATGGGGATCAGGGGCACCACTTAATTCACAATAGCCATGAGCGTGTTTTAACCACTTTAGGGGCAGGGGCATACATCCAGAATCCAGAAGTGGCTAAACATCAACTCGTACAACAGAAGTCTGCATTTGCATATGCGTTTCCAGATGCTCCAAGGCCCCAGGATGTTGTGGTGTCTTATTTACCAAAACCAAAGGCAATGTATAGTGGCTGCAATTACACAACAAAACATTTTATATTTTTACTACCCTGCATACACATTAAATCATCCTAAATATATAAATTTTACTTTTATAGCATTCAAATGGCAGGATCAGAGGGATTTGAGAAATTTTCCCTTTGTGTACATTTAGCTACAAGTGATGAACCCCATCAGCAGTGTCAATGTGATGTAGGACTAGACTCTTTCCACTGATACCAAAAAAAAAAGTTTTAAGTGTGCTTGAAATATTTGTACAAACATTTTAAAATGGATTTATTACTAGCAGTATTACTAGCAACGACTTAAGATCAGTTTGTTACTCTAAGTAGGGATTTTTCAATCTTCCTAAACTACAGAAACAACTAAAACAAAAACAATTATACCTAAAACAATGCTATTAGAAAAGACATGACCCTTTCTGTTAAGATGTCTGTATTCTAAAAAGAATAAGGAAACAGTCTATTACCTAACAATCTTAAGGACAAAAAGGACTTGTGCACTACACAAAATCAACTCAGAATAACAAAAAACATAATATCTTGGCATAGCTGAGAAAAATACATTAGTAAAATTGGTAACATAATATTACCTATATATGCTCTCTCTTGCTCACGGCTGAGTCCTGGGGGTATAACTGTTGGCATCCCAGGAATTATGGTCTTCTGATCTGGGGTTTCATCATTCCAGCGACTGCGCTTCCGCTTCCGTTGAAAATCTGCAGATTGTATATATGTATTAACTTTGCAGCGTTACAAAAATGTATATACATTTTAAATATTACCTGACAAGACATAAGGGCCCACTTACTGCGGACTTAATGTGGATAAAGCAAGGAAGGGAGAGAGCCTATGTCAGGTCTCCACACAGCAGCACCCTATTGGTGGCTGGCATTGATAGTGGGCTTATCACAACTGGTGTAAACAAGCCCTCAGGATGTTCGTTGAGCCAAGTTCATCAACACAGGCTCAAGGCAAAGGGTCCTCAAAACAACTGCTGTTTGTGCCCCTTCACACCACAGTGGTGCACTAAGGAAAAAGTTTTAGGCTGTGTCAACTAGGGGTGCAGCTAACGATTATTTTCAAAACTCGATTAGTTGGCCTATTACGTTCGATTAATCAGATTTTTTTTAAAAGGCTCCAGTGATGGACTACTAGTTTGTATTGAGATTTAGTCCATCACAGGAGCAAGATTGGAGCGGTGGAAGTAAAAAAAAAAGTGTGGTATGCAATATAGTACATTATACAAGCGCACAATGCAGAATACCAGCAGCTTTAGAGGAATACAACAAATCGCAGCAAAAGTACACTATAGTGTATTATTGCTGGGATTTAGATTTATAGTCCTCTGTAGCTGGCGTTATTCTGCATTGCGCTGTATAATTATTGCTGGGATTTGTAGTCCTCTATAGCTGGTGGTATTCTGCAGTGCGCTGTATAATGATTATACGGCACAATGCAGAATACCAGCAGCTATATAGGAATACAACAAATGCCAGCGATAGAGATATATAGATCTATATATAGATCTATATATATATATTCTGGTGGTATTCTGCATTGTGCCGCTGTATTATACAATGCAGAAACATCATTCAAGTTGCACTAGTTTGTATTGAGCGCAGGCAAGGATCAGCTTATTTTAATAGTGAGCACTTTTCAATATTGTTAGAATATCTCAAGGAAACCTCTTATTGAAAAGATCACTACAGTTAGGCAGCTACATTTCGAGTCTACAAGGGGTCCTGACTTACTTTCAGATCGTGGGCCCTCGATTGTCGGCAGACCAGCAGCGAGTGAGGAAGCTCACAGCAAGAAGAGCAGCTGCGTGCGCGGCTTCTGCGTCCTGTGCGGTCCGCGCAGCTTGTGACGTGCGGCTCAGGCCGCATGTGGAACCCCGAACAGGCTAATCAAATCAATAGCCAACGGATCGACGATCGAAAGCGTCGACAATGTTTTCGATCGTCGATTTTAATCGACTTAATTGATTAACTGTTGCAGCTCTAGTGTCAGCTAGAGCTGCAACAACTATTAGATTTACTCGATTAAAATCGACGATGGATTTTTTTTTGCTTTCTCTTTTTCTCTTTCTTTGTTTCTCTTTTGGGTCTTTTTCTCTTGTGTTAGGTTTTACGTTGTCTATGTAAGTACGTAAGTTATGATGAATCACGGTATCAAAGGTATGCAATATTTAGGATAAGAGAGCTCTATATCAATTGAAGCATAGTGGGGATCACTTAGTGATCAAATCCCTATACTTGAGTGGGAAAATAAGAGGGACTCACTTTAGAGAAGATCCCTCCCGCTAAACCAGAAAAGTACTGATCTCCTTCCTAGTGTCGAGGTACGAAAATTAGACTTTGTATCAACTAGGAATATAAAAACACAGGAGAATTAAATGAGCAAGGTTATGTTATGATTTGTATGATTGATACTGTAATGTGTGGATATATGGTGTAATTGTCTTAAGATATGTCGATGAAAACAATAAAATATTTGAAAAACAAAATCGACGATGGAGAACGTTTTCCATTGTCGATTATTCGTCTATCAATTAAAATGCCTGTTTGCAGCTCCAAGCTGCGCATGCCCACGCCGGTTAAGCTGCGCACGCTGAGGACATGCCTCTGCTCCTCCCTGTGAGCTTCAATTTGCGCCGTGTAATCATTATACAGCGCAATGCCGAACACCATCTATAGATCTAATCACTGCAATAATAAATTATACAGCGTAATGCAGAATAACACCAGCTACAGAGGACTACAAATCCCAGCAATAGTACATTATAGTATAATGTACTATTGCTGCGATTTGTTGTATTCCTCTAAAGCTGCTGGTATTCTGCATTGCGCCGCTGTATAATGTACTATATTGCACACCACACTTTTATTTACTTCCACCGCTCAAAGCTTGCTCCCATGATGGACTACAAACTCAATACAAACTAGTAGTCCATCACTGGAGCCTTTTTTTATCCGATTAATCGAACGTAATAATCGGCTAACTAATCGATTTTGAAAATAATCGTTAGCTGCAGCCCTAGTGTCAACACAATGAGCCTATCAAAATTCAAGTGTTGGTCTTCTGCCCCCTGATGTGGCCTGTAGAGAAGAACACATTGAAAAACCACAAGTCATGCAGTAAAATGCAGAATATGTTAAAATGCATGACAACATGCTTTAGTGTGCATGTGTTTTCTTTGTTTTTATGTGCATTACGGTCCAACATTCTGGCTGCTGAGTCAGAGCAAGTTCTTTGCAAATTGCAAAGCTGTAGGTCTAATTTAGCAGGGGGTATGCAAGACCGTTGAAGACTGCTTTGACACAGAACAGCAGTCCAACACCTGCAGCTTACCACCAGGGAGAATTTATACTGGCACAAATAAACATACAGTGAGACATTCACTGTAAATGACACCCCAAAGCACCTTTACAATGTGTTGCAATACACCACTATACATTGTAATGTAATCCTGTATGACGTACTAGTCAAAATGCACCAGGACCACTTTTTAGTCTGTGGAGGTGCATGTGTGCGTACAAAGTGTTAAAGCTATAGAAAGTTTGTATAATAAACACCCAGTGCTGTGTGTACATCATTTTATTGGCTTTAACCTCCTTAGCGGTATTCCCGAGTGTGGCTCGGGGTTAATTTTCTGTACCATAAGTGGTAACCCCGAGCCACACTCGGGAATAATGCCAGTCAGCGCTGGAAGATCAGGGAGGGGGGAATCCAGCACCTCCCCTGTCACGGCAGAGAGCCGTGACAGGATCGAGGAGTGAGCGAACGCCGGTATGTGTTCGCTCACTTCCCGATCTACTGAGCCGACCTGTGACAGTCTCATTGTCACAGGTCGGCTAGAACTGTGAGGCGAGTGAAAAGCACTCACCTTTATAGTTCTCCTTTAAAGAACAAGTTCATTGCACCCCTAATCTTTCTATGGGTCACCAAAGCTTTTTATTGCTTTGAAAATGTCCACATAAGTTTGCAGTCTGTCCAGAGGTCAAATATCTTAAAGGTGAGCTTTTTTTTTTTCCTTTAGGGGGCAATTCCCACCATATGCTTTGAGGCAGCGCTGGCCATTGCTTCCAGGGCAGTCGCACACAAAAGGTGAGGCAAATTCACACCATTGCGTTCCAAAACGTTAAAAAAAATACTGCATGCACCATTTTCTCTGGTCTGGAATGCACCAAAACGCATTTAAACATACCAGAACAGAAAGTCAATTGACTACAAAAATGCAACGAACACATCAAAAAACAAGCCCTTAAAGTCCAATGCTGAACACAATCTAGGGCATCAACTAACATTTTAATAATCAATTACTTTATCCATTAATCAGATTAAAAATATATACCCTTTGTCTTATTTAAACTAAAACACACGAATGGAGCGTTACAAATTTTACTTCAGAATAAAACTACATGCAATTTTTTGCAACCGTTACCGCACGCTCCAGTTCTCCACTCGACAGAATTTGTCAATTTGTTTTATTTTGTATGATTGGGGCAGGGTGGTAGAGGGTTCCTACTGATTTATAAAGTGAGCAGATAGTAAATATTTACTATGTCCTCATTCATAAATGAACAGGAATTGATGTACAGCACTTCCTGTTCATTCTTAACTAGGGACATAATCACTGTCCTCAGTTGTTTACAAACACTGAGTGATCAGACAACTCATCACCACTGGGCACCGGACGGGCTGCAGGGGTCTGTGTCCCCTCTGATCCCCACTGGGAGCACCGAGCTAATGAAACACAGGCCCCAAGCACAGAGGAGAGAAGCACCTCTGTTCATTATTGATCAACTAAATCAATCATGAAAATTGTTGACAACCATTCTTATTATCGATTAGTTGTTTCAGCCCTACAATAATCTTACTGGAGTACAGCAAGATATAAAGTGCTATTTCTACAATCGTCAGCATACCAGAGTCACAGCACTGTATTAATGAGTTTTGAGAAAAACCAAACAAAGCCATATGCAGTCAGGCTTCTTCAAAAACGTAATCGGCTGTAACCAAAAAAGAATTTGCATGGCACCCCAAACGCACCCCCCACCCGCAGTACGATCTGGCACAACACGCGGTATCGCAAATAGCGTTCGAAAATATAGTATGTGCTCGATTTTTAAGCACAACGCCCGGTATTTGCGGTATCACGTGTTGCAGCACCCCCAATCGCACTGAGGGTGCCATTAAAATGAATGGCACACAATGCACCTCCCGCATTGTAATTGCACAGGAGGTGCACTGTGCGGTAACGTGTAATTAATGCACAGAGGTGGTGGGCCCTTAAAGTGACAAAGGAGTTAAATCATGTACATTCAAGTACCTTAACCATTAACAAAAATGTATCTTATGCATCACTCGGCAGGAGCGCCCCAATGCGTGGTGTCACCCGGAGAAAACCCCGCCGTAACTATGACATCACGTATTGTTACCTGCTGGCGGGGTCCATGGCCGAGTGCCCGACTTTTCAGAGGGGTGACACCAAAAGTGACTGTCATTTTGGAGTCACCCCGTTGCGGGACACAGTGGCCACCACTCCAAGCTAATGGACTACATTCTCAATACAAATCAGTAAACTAAACGTGCGATTGTAGTCCATCATAGGAGTGAGCTTGAAGTGGTGGCGTCTTTACAACACACACAGGGACCATGGCAAACAATAGTACCACCCTCCAGAAGGAAGGACAGTGTCAGCACCAATTCAGAGATGGTTTGAGGATCTACAGCCGAGTGATACATATTGAACTCCTGAGTTTAGTGTCACTTTTAAGCATGCCACACATTACAATCTAAAAGTACAACCTTTAAATTCACCAACTCCTGTGTAGTTCAAGGGCCGGTCTTACTGGATAGTTGACAGTTTCTTAAATGACATACATTAGGTAAACCTAAATTCGATTAAACACTCACTGTAAAACATATGGTGCCCCTTATATACATCCAGGTAAAGGGCACATATGTACACTTCCCCAGGAGGATGCATGATGCAGGGCTTTCCGCCTTGCTAGGCCAGAGTGCAATCAAACAGGAGGAGGGAAGTGAGCCTCGGAGAACATAAAGTCAAGTCCTAATTCATTATAGATCCTAGGAAGGGCTGCAGCATGCTTGGGAACAGCAGAAATCTAGACGAATGGTTAGCTATGGCACAGGACCAGAGACATTATGAAGGGGGGGTTATCAGAACTGGAGCAGACAAAACCTGGAGCAGTCGTGCAAGGCAACTAATCAGCTTCTCTTTCATTTTTATATCCTAACAAAATGGAGAGAAGCTGATTTGTCGCCTTGCAGGGCTGCTCCAGATTTTGTCTGCTCCAGTTTCGACTAATTCCTCTTTGTATTTGTGTTGATGACGAGGGTTTTACAAAACGTACAACGTGCAAGCAGTGCACATTGGAGAAAAAAAAAAAAAAACACAGGCCCCAATACATCACAACAGATCGTGCAGAATAATAACCCGCACATACCATGTACACAATTACGCGAAATTATCAAATACAACATTCGACACCCAACTGCAATATGGACAACTGAATCCGTTCTTTTTCTAACATTACATGAAAGTGTATAAATTGGCTACTTACCCATTGCGCGTTTCCCACTGCGATTCTCACAAATCACTGGCAATGACTACACGATGACTGAGCTATTACGCGCCACTGAGACTTTATATTAACTTCGTTGCACCGCCCATTGAAGAGAAAAAACATCTCATTGGATTAGAGTAGATGCCGCCGATTGGGTCACAGATTACCATGTGATCGCAGGGCGTAAATACGAGCTGAGTGAGTCTTTCATTGTGAATGGATGTGCCTATCAAAATAAAGCTCTGTCTATCGTTTTGGTTAGGCAATGCTTTACCGTGAGGAGATCCTAATTGGCTACGTTCAACGTAGACGTGTGCCCTGACCAGTTTATGGTCGCCATTTTGTAGGTTGCGCTTTGTAATACGTCTTACAAAATGGCGGCTACCTGTATGTTTGTATAGCTAGTTCAGCCGTGACATCACACAAGGGGGCTATGTCCTGATGTGGCAGGACCACAAAGCACACAATTGAAAACTTTTAACAGTGTAGGTATTTTACCTTTCATCATGTGTATAGATTGAAAAGTATAAAGAATCATCTGATCCAGTGGAGGTTAATGTCATACCTCGCAACTGTCACTCATTTGGAACCAAATCTCAGATATCTATAAAAGGGTATGATTTAGGGCCCTGTCACACCATCAAGAGTGCGTTTGGCCTCTGGAACGCAATCCAGCTGACTCACTTTGTTTTGGGGGGGAAGGAGGCGTGGCGTTGCATTGAACTCAAATGGCCCCGCAGGGGCGTGGCCGGGACATGGATCTGTGAGGACGTGCAGCGTGTGAGCTCTATACCCGCCGAGGCCACACATGCCCCGGTCTCAGGTCAGGAGCTCAGGGGAATGTTTGCGGCACTCAGGGCAGACCTGGCCGTCATGGTGGAACGACTAGAGGGATCCATGAGGCAGGAGCTGACGGCGGTCAGGTGGCGGATGACAGAGTGGCATCACTGGAATCTGTCAGAATCTCCTATGACGCCCGCCTGCAAGAGCTGGAGAGGGCGCAACTTACCCAGATGCAGGCCCTGACAGTCCTCCGCCTCAAGGTAGATGACGGTGAAAATAGGAGCCGCAGAAATAATGTTCGCATTAGGGGTATCCCTGAGGCCACCTCTGGAGCAGATCTCCGATCCACTGTGACTGCGATCCTAAACATGTTACTGGACAGGGAGCCAACCCGCCCACTGGAGATCGATAGGGTGCACAGAGTATATGGCTCAGCTATCGCACGAGACGGCTCACCCAGAGACGTGCTATGCCGCATCCATTTTTTCACTGTGAAAGAGGAGGTTATGCGACAGGCCTGGAATAAAAAAAACGGTCGACTTCGATGGCGCCTCCATTTCCTTCCTACCTGACATGTCCAGCCACACGCTCTATATGCGGCGACAGCTATGACCGGTGCTCAGGTGTGTGCAGGAAGCAGGCGCATCCTACCGCTGGGGCCATCCATTCCACCTGCTGGTCCGACATGGAGATCGCAGTTTTGCGCTACACAGACCGGATCAACTCCCCATGTTGTTCGCCTTGCTGGGCTGTGCACCTGTTCCAGTGATGGATTGGCTGACCCCATTGCCGATTCAGACGGATCCCCCCTCTAGCAGTCAGAGGCCCAGGAGACAGAGATCCCGCAGACCGCGGGGTGACCGGAGCCGAGACCGAAGTAGCCCTGCATCCAGAGAGGACTGAGTCCACCCTTCTGCGTAATGAGAGCATGCACTAGACGATCCCAGGATTGTACTTATGGACATACAAACTGTACCCGGACTGCCGAGAGGACGCCTCGGAGTGAGCAAGCAACTTCGCCTAGAGTGTTTTGTCTCTCGCACTCACCTACCATGTACCCCTGCAACTACTACTGATATCCAGGCTTAATCCACCCATCTTCGCAGAGATCCTGCAGTTCCGGATGGGGAACAAAAGGTTGATTACAAGAGACCTAGACAGACTACAAGACCCGTCCGGGGTGTTTTAACCCCGGGATCCACTACTATGGTTTGGCTTGATGATGCGGGCTGTTTTATGCACAAGTTTGACTAGCTGAGGTGGGATGTAGACTGGGATGTAGAATATTCATACGGGCCTTACAATGAGAAGGGTGGGGATGGGACAAGCAGCTGGGAGAAAGTAGAGACCCCTTATCAATTTGCCCAGGAAGGGGGCCATATGCCGGCCTAGGAGCGAGGGATACCCACCTACCGCAGGAGGCATAGAAAGGCCTACCCTAGACAGCAAAGTCCAGAGACACGATATAGGAGTTCTTCTTCTTACTATTGTTACAATATTGGGCCTCCCGGGCACGGGCGGCTCACAGATTTCATGTTTTCCACATAGGACGACTCCGTGGGGCGTTACCCTGGAGTTTTTTGATTCATTGTTGGAAGCTACGGTAGTTTCGTAGTTTCACTGTTTTTAGATACTTTCTTGTATCTTCTGGGGGACGGATCTCCCTCCCTCTCATTCAGATCTTTGTCTACCTCTAACTCTTCACTTCTTCTCTGGCCACTACTGGTCCACAGCCAGCTCCCCTCCTCCCCCACCGCCCTCCCCCTTCTTCTACCCCAGCAGATACTCCA